TATATATATATACATACATATATATATATATATATGTATGAAGTCATGACAAGTCTTAGAGTGCTCAAAACATGTTGACTTTTACTATCCAAAATGAAGTTTTTTTCTTATGAAGTATATCTTTTCACTTCACTTTGGGATTATTTATTCGATAACGTGCAATTATTATAGAGCTCACATTACATATTTGGAATGCTTATCTTGAACGTATTATGAATGTTAATCGTTGAATACATTTTAGAAAATAATATTAATCTTTAACGATTTACCATATGTATTTTTCTCTTTTTAAGAATCTTCAATTTATCGAACTTTTACACGTATTTGTAGAGGACTACTCAGTAAGTATTTGTAATAACTAATTTTGTATATTGAAATACTATTTTGAGAATGTCTATGTTAAGTGCGAGAAAAAAAGAAATACTTAGAAAACAAAATTAGGGCATTCGATATTTTGTTTTTATAAAATCATAGACTATACATGGCCGTTAGATTTCAAGATATTCATGATATGCAAGATATTTTATTGGATATGCAACCATTGTAGTAAAAATATCGACATCAATTGAAATATTTATTAAAAAAATAGATGCAATTTATTTCCTTTCCCTGATTTATGCCTGTTAAAGTAAGGAATTTCTTCTTACAAAGAATTTTTGCAGAGCTTGCATTTTAAGCTCTTGCACTTTACTTCTGAATTATCATTAGATTAAAAAAAAATTTTTGCAATAAAGATTGTACATTGCATAAATAATGCACTTAAATTTACAGGAATATAAAAACAGGTCAATTTCTGTTTTTATGTTATGGCAACATCTTTTAAATTATAGTTATTTGTAGGATTTATTTTACAACTTCGAAATATATTTGTAAGGGATGAGAATAATTAATCTGAATAAGCTAGATAATTCATTAAATACCTTTTTTCAAACCCACGAAGAAAGTTCTCACAGTCATATGAAGAGAGTTAGGAAAACACCCATATGGTAGCTCTGTTAAAAATGTAATAATGCTTAAAGAAAAGCCCCTAATTGAATCACACTCATTGATTCTTGAAATTCTTTAAAAAATAAAGGGATATTTAGCTGATGTGAACCATTTTTTGTAGATTTCGAAGGATCTTAAAATTATTTTTAAAGCAATAGAATTATTGAGGCGAAGTTAAGTGTAGGGTTAAACTCGCGTCCAGTGAATCAGAGGCTTTCTATTGCAGAGGGAGGGGTCTTTGAAAAATGAGACTTCCTATCAAGCATTTTAATGAAAATAACTGTACGAGAGATTCTTGAATTAGCACCAAAGGCGCCATTCTGTAAAAATCTGCACCATTATTAGCGTATGCAAAATATAGAATGGTGAACAAAATATGCTGTTGTGAAAACATTCATTGTCCTTTGAAATGCTGTTAAGGATATGTTCATGAAAATGAGGAAAGAGAAAGTGAAATTTGTGATAGTGAGCACTGAAATTCACGGAGCGTAAATCCATCACATTGAAAATCGTACTTTTGAAGAGTTTGTAGTGTCTACCATTACAAAAATATAATTCCAATGCACTACCATATAAGATCTAAGACATGTCAATTCGTTTCTATGTCGGGATGCCTTTTCGTAGATGCCACTCTTCAAACAAGTTCACAGAATTTAAGTAACTCCTGCTTCCTGAGGTGATAATTGATAATGAAACTGAAATCAGTAGCAGATGTTTGATGGCAAGGGCTGTAGAACCAATTAACGAACTATTTAGGGAGGATGAAAAAACCATAGTTAAAATTGATCTGAAAGTCCTTAAGTAATTCTTTACGAAACTCTGATAAGATCAATTGCGAGATCCGGACAATTAATGCGGTTGAGAAAAATACATTTTTTTTAAAGAAAAAAATGATTCTTCAATCAATTTATGAAGTCTTTAAAAAGATAACATTTGGAAAAGTATATACATTCGTAAAATATAAAATAAGCGCGAACAACTTAACATGATAAGAGTTGAGATGAATCAAATGACTGAACAAATTTTTCGACGTTTTCCAAAATCGAGGATGCAAAAAAATGAGGGAGATCATCTAAAAGGTAGCATGACATACATATATATATATTTATTTTAAGCNTATATATATATACCTACAACTGTCGGACAAGGACATGTGCATTCATATTTGACAGGTTAGTTAATTAGTTAAACCACATTATGCTCTTCCGGTAAGTTTTTGGTTTTCCATAGAAAGACATATTTTAATAACTTAACTGATGATAAATATGTTTACAAATTAAGAAAGTGATTTTTTTTTATATTTAAATATTAATGATTTATTTGTATTTATGATATTTTAGAGAAAAAAAATTTTCCTCCCAAGATAATTATACATTTTTAGGAAACCTGTGCTGATTTTTTCCAAGCTATTACATGCACAAAACTGACACAGGCGAATGTAAGTATAACTTGGTATTTTAAATAATTAAATATTTTTTCGTTGTATTTATTAATAGATTTATTGTTTATAACTTAATATTTTTTGCTCTGTGATTTTTTAAATTATTCACAAATCTAGCATCTGTTTAAGGAACAGCTACTTAAAAATTGTTAACTAAATTTTGATTCTTAACATCTTTAGGAGACAAAAGTTCTTCCTCCGGTATGCAAACTCAGAGTTTATGTATACTTTAGAGTACGTACGTATAAATCTAACAAGCGATATAATTCAAAAGTGCAATATTGAGTTCCGATTCAAGTGTTATACGGTTGCTAGAGACAGAAAGGCTCGTTTTATATATAACGTTGCAAGAATGATGTTATTACATAAGTGTGATTATGGTCAAACTTTAATTGCAGTATGCTAGTCTATTTTATACGAATGTTAGTATTGAAAGTTCTTAAGAAAGTTTTCGGTTCTCTTTAGTTTATAGAGGATGTAAAAGAATTATCAATCAGCTATAGTCGCTCTAAACGCATTTTTACAAAACTTATCTTAATCTGTCTTATAAACACAACTATATATTTAATATCCAATCAGAAACACTTGTGCATTGAGGGTAGAAGATCGCACAAATTAAACTTACAATTGATTTGTAAGTTTATTTTTAAATGTTCGAAATAAACTTAAAAATAAAGAAATAAACAGTTAAGAAAAAAACCCATCTTTTTTACTGAGCTTAAGACTTAAAATTTCCTTCCTGAATCATTTTCGGTTTTTTTCTCGCTTCCTCTAGCCCTTCGAACCTGTAGTTTCTGACCCAGCTTTCTTATTACTCGAATTTTGTTCCTTCAAGTCTGGTAGAACCAATTCGTAGTCTGGTAAAACCTACAAAATTTGAATTGTTAAACCATTTTAGGTCAAGCTTAGAAATTTTATAGAATGTGGTATTAATTTCTTTTGAAATTAATACCACATTCTATAAAATTTCTAAGTTTATTCTAAGTTTTTCTAGTAATTTGCTAGAATTACATCCATTAAGGGAAAAAAGAAGTTTCATTCATAGGATTTTTTTAAATTTGGAATATGAAATGATGTCCATTCACACCACTAAATCATTGAAAAAATCATTTAGTTTAACACTATTTTCTCATGATATTTGTTTTAATTTTATTTTATTTACAGAGCTTGCAACTTTAATCCATCATAAAAAGGTATCATTAATCTCAATTGGAAAAATTATATTTAGATAATTTAGAACTAATAAATCAAAAAAAAATGAAATATTTATTGAAATGCTGTGTTTGCGCACACATTTGACTGAAAATAAGTAAAGATTGCATCTTAATACATGGAATACATACTAAAATTATCTATTCCTCTGTGTTTTTAATTAAAAATTAAATCAAATACATTTGTCTTTACCATCTAAACACAGCTGCCTAACTGGTATTCTTTATACTAATATAAGGATTTACTATTTGAACTTGCCACTATCAATTCCCTAGGATCGCGTTATAATCAGATAAGTCAAGTAATATTATTTTTAATTTTATGAAGTAGGTAGGTTCTTAATTTTCGATGCACTAGAGATGCGCAATGATCCTTAGGCGATGGTCTGAGAAACATCCCTGAGGATGGCCTGAAGACATGCTACAGTAACTTTGATCCTCTGCAAAGGGGATAGCTCCCCTGCTTTGGTAACCCGACGACCAGCGCGCAAAGTTGAGCACTTTACGGTAGAACAGTTTAATGAGGACCGATGCAGCGCATCATCGCTCCCTACGCATACTGATCAAAGTGGTCATCTACCCTCTTACTGACCGCAACCCGTGATGCTTGACTTCGGTGTTCAACTGGGACTTACGATTAGTCCACTGTTAAATATGTGTAGAGAATAAAATTTCACAATAATAATTACACTTTGGATCATTTACACAGTAATTCCAACAGCAATATGTACTTCGTTATTTTGTCTAAAAATGATTAAAAACACAAGAAAGTATTAAAAGAAAATGAAATAATTTTTGTTAGGAAGTAGCAAATTTGACATGACTTTTCCTTTATATTTTTCACACGAGTGCTGTTTTTTTTACTTTAGGCATGCTTTATAGATGTGTTAAACAGAGTTCACGCTGAAGGAAAATGCTGATGTCTCAAATACTAACATCGAACTAAGATGTTTCTCAGTTATGTAAACCTTGGCCTTCAACCTTTCTACTATTAAAATGGTTTATAACTGTTTATTTTTGAAAAAAAAAAAATACAATCTCAATAAATTCTCGCAACAAATTTTTCACTTTCTTGTAGATTTAAGATTCTCTTATAAGATATGTTTGCTTAAGAATAACAAACTAGGGAAATGTTACGAAGAACATTGCAAAAAATGAAAATGATAATGTATTAATAATTTTACAAACTCAACTTAATAATTTCATAAATATTATACAATATTCAATGTATTCATTTTCTAAAGTATCGTTAGGTATATAATTTCATAATCCCACATACCTACATTGTTTAAACAACTTATTTAGTAAATCAAACAATCGAATTTATTCAGATATACAATTTATGCATTGTGATAAAATGTAATTAGTTATTTATATTCCAGATTACAATATAAACACGATCACTTGAAATTATAATTTCATTTGTTTCTAATGCAATAAAATACTACGATTACTTGCATTCATGATTACTAATTAGACATCTATTAAACTACTTGTCGATTATTACCTAATAAAAAACTACATCCGATTCAGAAATAAACAAATATGAAATAACAGTAATATGAAATAACAGTAAGGAAACGAAAATGATTTGAAATAACAAACGTAATAATGTCGGCAGTTATTTCGTAAGTATTTTTTCTGACTTTACGCTTTTTTATTTCGCATCAGTTTTGTTTCTTTGCGTTCAAGTCTTTCAAATCTTGAAAACAGGTGCCTATTTTGGAAGAGCTTGAAACATGTCTACTGTGATTTCATATTTGTTTATTTCTGAAACAAATGAAGTTTCAAAGCAGGTAATATTTAATTGCTTCAGACACTAGGGATTATTTATTTAATACTAATTTTTATTTATTAATTAATTTTTTATTATAAAAATATTATTATACTCGACACATTAGGTAATAAATTAGGTACTAAACACATTAGGTAATAAATATCATTTAAAAAGCAGAAAATAAAATGTAAAAAAAACTGAGCAAAACACAATATGAAATCTGTAAAGTGAGTAGCTAATTCAAATGAACTTACATGTACGGGAAAATTTTGGAAATAATGATTTAAATTATTTCCGTAATAAAATTGTCAGATTGCACAGTATGAAAACAGAAGAGCAAATTGTGGTAAAAGCGTAAATAGAGGGATTTGTTTTACTGAAGTACTGAAGCGCGCTTGATTTGTTAGTTACCAAGGATTGTCTCGAAAATGGGTGTGCGCAAGGTGATATTATACTGGCTAGTTTAAAGATTATTGTAGTTCATTTACGTCAAACTAGCGCTGCACAATGGGATTTAGAGAAATTTATAGTAATTAAAGTTGATATTTAATCATACAATTTTAATGATTTTAGAAAAATAACAGTTATTTAAGAGGGAAAGGAACATGAATTGCCGTTTTGCACATATTTTTAGCTATGCAATTGCCCGAAATGGATTTGCACAAGAAGTTTTTAATAAACTTATTTATAATGACATACAATTAACTCAAGGATTTCACATAGAATATTATTACTTTAGTTGGGTATCCATTGCTTTTTATCAAATTTTTAAAGAGTTCGTCGATTTTTTTTTTTAGAATAAATAAACATTACTACATGTTCTTTTAATTCTATTCATTTGATTAAAAATGGTATTTAAATAGATATTTTTAGGAACATTAGAATTCTAAGCAATTAGATTATTTATATTAAAATTGAAATCATTTCTGTTATCGCTCAAATCAACTAAGCAGGTATTTTCTTCTTTTATAATACCCAAATCGAAAAAATTAAAATTAATATTATCATCATGATTACGAAACAAGATTAATTCCTCGGGGTAAATATTATTTAATAAAATTGTACAACCCTGAAAATTAACGATAATTAAATCATCAATAAATCTAAAAATAAATTTAATATTAAGAGCGTGATTTTTTTTCTTCATAATAGTGCAAAAACAAGTTAGCTAAGAGAGATAAGAAATTAAATCCTTTTGGTATTCCATCGATTTGAATAAAATTCTTTTCTATTGTAAAGGTAGTCATTAAAGAGACAAAATGAATTAGAATTTCTCAATGATCAAAATCGCAATTAAGGATATTTTTAAAATCATAGTAATAATTCAAAAATACATCCTTTAGTTTAGAAAGGGGAATGC